ATACATGTTGGCATAGAGCCAGACTAAATTCGTTCTCGAAATGTCCCTGCTCGTTTCCATGCCGATATTGCGTTCGCAGTCTGTCCTTGTCCGCTGACAGGATTTCTTTGCCTTTTAGGATTTGGCGCAAACCTATGAAATTACTGCGATGCCCACCATTCTAGGATTTAAAGATGGCAAAGTCCTAGACCGAGTCGTCGGCGCTAATGAAGAACTGATTAAGAAACTGCTGCAGAAATTGACTGTATAAGATTTGTATTATTCCAAGTAGATTTCGGTTATTAATGTTTATTTTTCCTTCCTGTTTGGGGTGATTGTTTTTCTACCGGACTTCAATTTGACGTTGGTGGCACAACCATTAGTGGAGTGCCAATTACTTACAGTGAGTGGGAGTACGAGATTGAAGTTTGTCATCCTGATTTTACTAGAAAGTGTGTTATATCCATATGTTTTGTAAAGTTGGGATAATGACCAGCTACTTCCTGCAAGGTCAGAAAGTTCACAATGGCAGTTTCCTCGGTACCCTTGGTCCTCTTTTACCATTCGCAGAATAGAGCCTATCGGATATCCCGGTAGCGAGGGACTGTATCTGCAGTGTGAACGAGCAGCCCATACGCCCTGTCAGAGTAGCGCTCGACAAGACATTTGTTGAAACCTAGACGGCTAACTAGCATAGTATTTGCAGGGGTTCTTCCTTGCCCGTGGAGTACTCTGGGCTCGCCTACGTTAGCACTACTCACCGTATGTCTCTAGGTTTCTATGGGGGACATTTAACTAGAAAGAATGTCACCATCAACTTTACTTGCATATTCGTACCAAACTGCCCTCGGAAGGACAGTTTCGGGCTTCTTCGAAGAGGTCCGTGATCATTTATGTGTTTGCGTAAGCTTTAATTCCGAGTTCACTTAAGTCGCTAACTCGGTGCCTGGATAAATTAATCCAGCCAGTTAGACGTGCAAATTCAACATTTTCGGATGGGTATTTGATGCTGGGACCCCGATTTCCTGTGTGCGTGAGTCCGTATCATTCATTAGCAGGAAGAGTGTTTTAATTGGCTAAATAACTGCTTTCCTGCGTTAAAGCTGACAAAATGTTCATTAGTGAATTGCAGAGTAGGGAAATGCGACTTAGTTTCGGGAATCTAGCGAAGAACCTGTTACGTTCGGCATAGGAGATCATGCTGTAACCGATAGGGGAATTCGGGAAAGTGCACCTTAACAAATCGCGTCACCAACATGCAAACCGGGTTGCTGATCTATTCATGGAATGTTGGATACAGTGCCGTCTGCCTATACTTTTTGTGACCTCGAAAATTTCCCCAGTGGCTCTGTTTGCTCGTTGATTATGGTGCTGATATGCTCACACCGATTTGGGGCATCTTGGATAGGTCTTCCATCTACAGTTGGACCGTCTACTCCACAACAGGGTGGTTCAGGGGCGGTGATTCACGCCAGATCATTGTGTGAGTAGACTTTCAGTGCACCTATCCCACTCTGCTGGGCTCGCTGTCAGGAAGGCTGGAGGGTGCAGGCCCACACACTGTGGTTACACACCACTAGAGAGCCACGGTTCAGTTGTGGCGTCTCGGGTCCAAGTCGAGTGGAAGGAGCTATTATAGCCTGATTTAATCAGCCACTCAACATTATACACACTGGGCATACGCCATGGTCTAGTGTAAAGCGTCAGTTGGCGGTCTTCAAAGCCATGGTTTTTAATAAACCGTTCTAGTCTCAGGTCCCGGTCCCACGCACGTGGAGAGGGGGCCCAGGAACGTACATTCCCTCCACAAGGAGGGTGCTGGATTCAGGC